TTTCTTAAATATATACATGCATGTGTTTGTATTTATATATACATAATAAATATACTCATACACACTCTTATTTAAACAAAAACTTTTATTTTGGATGAGATTAATCGTGTGTGTATATGTGTATATATATATATGTATATATATATATATATATATATATATAAATAACAAAATAAGAAAAAGATACCATATTTCTAGAGAATTGAAAAGATAAAATATATTTCAACATATATAACATTATTATTAAAACAATTCAATAAACATATAAAACATTAAATCGTTTCTAATAAATTAGAAAATATAAAATAGAAAGATTTCCACTATACTAAGATTTTGGGGCCTCAATGTGTATATCTGTGTATATGTATATATATAAGATAGTATTCATATTTTAAAATTCCTAAATTTCCTGTTTGGCAAATCACTGTTTTTATTCTTCTCCAGGGTCTTGGGCCGACCGCTCTGCTCTTCATGATGCTGCCAGCCAAGGACGACTGCTGGCTCTCAAGACCCTCATTGCACAGGTAGTTTCTCATTTAAATGACCTTTAGTTGAACTGTAAGATAAGAAATACGTAATTGTATTAATATGTGTAGTATTTATATCTTGTAGTCACATGCACTCTACCGGATAAGTAATGTAATACACATTTAGTGTAGAGGTGAACACTGTAATCCATCATGCACGCTAGTGAAGGGCATTGCTGCCACCATCTGGAATAAAAGAATCCTACACATTCTAATGCAATATTCATTTCTCTTAAACTGTCCTCAGGGCCACAGCGTGAATATGCTGACAATAGACCACGTTAGCCCTCTTCATGAGGCGTGCATAGGGAGCCATGTTGCCTGTGCCAGAGCCCTGATAGATGCTGGAGCCAACGTTAGTCTCTGCAGGGCTGATTGGTAACACTTTCATTTCACAGGTCGTGACAAGCAGGCTAGGCTTGTGTTACTGAGTTTAGCATTTTGTAACACAGTGGAAGATTTTTGCTTTATTACACTGAAATATGATGATGATGATGATGATGATGATGATTAAATATATCTATTAAATTATTAATTCTAGAAATATCTTTTTATTTTTTTATTTTTAATATACTCATTTTATTTTCTTTTGTCATTATTATATTATATTATTGATGATGATGATTATTCATAATAAATATGTCTAATGAATTATTAATTCTAGAAATATCTTTTTATTTTTATATAATCATTATTATCTTTTCTTTTGTCGTTATTATATTATATTATATTATATGCATTAAATAATATTATATTTGTTTTTTATCTATCAATTATTTTTTAATTATCAATTATTATTTCATTATTAATTCTACACAGAAAAAAATTGTGTAGTTTAGAAACATTGTTCACCCAGAAATTGCTATTAAATTGAAAATGGTATCTAAATTTTATCTTTTACTTTTTTCTTTTTATATATATAATCATTATATCTTTTATTTTGTCATTATTATATTATTAATATACTATATATTATATTTTTTATCATTATGTTTTTTTTATTATTTTGTCTATTCGAATACATGAGTTACAGCAAACCCTTATAATCTGGTAAACACTTAAGCCATAAAACAGGGGATGAAACATTTTGTAAACATTTGTGTTCAGCTGTTGCATTTTTCATATAATTTCATGACACATTCTGTTCTTTTGTTCATTTCACAGGTCGTGACAAGCAGGCTAGGCTTGTGTTACTGAGTTTAGCATTTTGTAACACAGTGGAAGATTTTTGCTTTATTACACTGAAATATGATGATGATGATGATGATGATGATGATTAAATATATCTATTAAATTATTAATTCTAGAAATATCTTTTTATTTTTTTATTTTTAATATACTCATTTTATTTTCTTTTGTCATTATTATATTATATTATTGATGATGATCATATAATTTCATGACACATTCTGTTCTTTTGTCTTGTATTCTATGTCTGTGTGTTCAGGTTAATGTGACAACTATAGATGGAGTGACTCCATTGTTTAATTCCTGCTCAGCTGGCAGTTTGGAATGTCTAGAGCTGCTTTTGCAGAGTGACGCCAGACCAGAGGCCCTGGCTCTATGCCAGCCTTCACCCATCCATGAGGCAGTCAGCAGGGGTGGGTATAAGACTGGCATTATAGTACCATAGTCCTGCACAAATCAAAATTAGTCCGAATTAGCCGACTTGCTAATAGACTCTCTAAGTTTTTAATATGACATGGCTTTATGGTCTCGTTCAAAGGCCACAGCAAGTGTGTGGAGGCACTGATTGCATGGGGTGTGGATGTGGACTATGAAATCCCTCACATGGGCACTCCTCTCTACAGTGCTTGTCGATGTCAGGAGTTCTTATGTGCCCGCAAGCTGCTCGATGGAGGTGAACAAATCCAAATTCACTCTATTAACTAACTGTGCTGAAAAGTAGGGACAAACAAATTTCATGACAATCTAACTGTAATTTTTCAAATTTAGTGGACGGTCAGTTTGACACAACCAGCCTGAAATTACAGTTAAGTTTCACAAGACTTAAGTACATAAAAAGTAGATTCGTTTAAAGATGGAAAATGCTGAAAGTAACAATAAGGTGGAGTTAATTATGTCTAACCGCTCTGACAGATTTAGTGAGTTCATTCAGAGACTGAATTAAACCAGTTAACATGAGTGAAAACGGTTCATAAAAAGAATCGACTCAAATGACTCTTTTAATCTCATCACAGAATGCAAATTCATGTTCACAATTCCGGTTCAATCAATCAAACTTGATTTCAACCAAAATCACCTTTCAGCAAATCCAATGCAACACAAAGTGCTTTACAGGTATAAATAAGCATAAGCAGTTATGAAAATAACTCTATAATAGTTTATAACAAAACTGAATATGAAAACTGAAATATTGATCAAACAAAATACGATAGCAATAAATAAAAATGCTGTTAATAAATAAAATAAACATAAATACTAGAATCATAACTGTAAGACACTACATAAAAGCTAGGCAATTTGTTTTAAGTGATATATCACCCACTCCTACAGGTAGATCACAGTTGTGCTTAATATTTGGAAAATAACCTATGCTGTGTTACTATATAACAAAATTGTCACCATCACAGGTGCAAATGTACAGAGAGGCACACATTTGGAGAGTCCTCTTCATGCAGCAGCCCAGAAAGACTGTATAAGCATAGTGACGCTCCTGCTAGAATTTGGGGCAGATGTAAATGCACGCAACCTGGAGTATAAGCGGCCCGTGGAGGCTGCTCCTCCAGGGAGCCTTACAGAGGGATTCCTATTGATTTATGAAGGTGAGTTACATGTGCAGCAGCATGATAGACTCAAAAGTCACTGATGTTTTGACTTTTATGTGTTTTACTGCATCAGCTTTTATCAGTATTGTTTCATTTACAGCGACACCCCGTTCTCTGCGTCAACTGTGCCGTCAGCAAATCAGGGAGAGTTTGGGACGTTCCCGACTGCACCTTCTACCACATTTGCCCCTCCCTAAAGCCATGAAGAACTTTCTACAATATAGATAATGTCCTTATGTTTGCTTAGTATTACTGTATTGACTTCGTGTCTGTGGCCTGATTTAACAAGAATATGCCAGTGATGGTATATAAATAAACTTGTGACTGGTACCCAATTTTGTTTATCTTACTTTAATAAATAAAATATAGGCCTACACACAAATTAACCATGGTTTTGCTACACTGACCATAGTTTAACCATGGTATTTGTAGTAAAACTGTGGTTATACAAATGGTAATCAATACGCCCAAAAAAACATGGTTACTACACTTTTACTACAATAAAACCATGGTTCATTTTCGCAACGTTTGTTAGACTTGAAAATATCTCATTCCAGTGTTTATTTAAAGGGATAGTTCTCCCCCCCCAAAAAATAAATAAATACAATTTTGTCATGATTTGCATCAAGTTGAATGTTGGTAAACAGTTGACGGTAGCCATTGACTTCCATAGTGTAAAAAAGATCACAGTAGGTCGAATGTTCTACAAATCAAACATATGATCTGCCAGCAGGTGGCAGCACATCAATTCCAGCGCGTGTCGTCAGTAAGCTTGTTTCCATGCGACTGTAAACAATGAGCCGAAGGGGCTTGTCTTTTTCCTCTAACAAACAGGCTGATCCTCGTTTCTGTCGTTACCTATAGTAAGAAATGGCCTATTCGCAGTCCCCTAAGAAGGCTGGTCTACCACGAGAGGTTTTGAAATGGCTGCAGAGTCTTGAATTATCGTTTTTCCCAAAAAACGTGCGCAGGTGAGTAGAGAAGATACCGTAAATCCCAAAAATTTGAGCCATTTAGGGGATATCAATATATTTGTACTTGTATAAAAGCTTGCAAGTGCTATGTAGCTAGTTAGTTTAGTTTTCTAATCAAATACAATAAATATTCATTTACAATTCCCCAATGAGTACTCTATTTCGCTATTTAGTCAACATCCGGCGATTTTGTTCATTTTGAATAAAATGTTAATATTTAACATCTGGTTTCATGAAAAATATAACAAATGTGGTTCAAAAACGGTTTTTCAAAAATAAACAAAATTGAAAGGACTTTGAATTACTACTAAATATGAAATGTACTTACATGCCTTGTTGTCTTTTGACCAAAGAGACCTTTCCAATGGATACCTAGTGGCTGAAATATTTTCCTGGTACTTCCCAAGGGATTTTCATATGCACTCCTATGATAATGGAGCTTCACTGGCTGCCAAACAATCCAACTGGTCCCAGATTGAGAGAGTGAGTTTGATACAAGAAATGATAAAAGTGACATGAAATAACTGATTATTTATTTTCATGATATGTTTATTGTGCTTTGGCCTATTTTTCTTAAACCATGCCAGTTTAATAAAGATCTAGCTGTTTAATAAAGATATTTTCTGTAATACACCTTTGGTTGTTTAAAAGTTTTTTGAGAAGCAAAACATCAGTCTGATGAAAGAGGTCATAGATGGCACAATCCACTGTAAACCTGGAGCTGCAGAGCTTCTCGTGCAAGAGATTTACACCTTCCTGACCAACAGAAGGTGAGCTTTCATATTTACTTTCTTTATGCATTTTTCATTCCCATCAGATAATGTAAATCAAATATTAGCCAAATAGCCCTTTAGGCATTGTTTTCAAATACTCACATTTAGTTTTTCTCCATTCTGGTATATAAAGCTCACTTTTAATTTTCAAAAGACACAATTATGTTCAAATGAAAGGGAGGATACGTTTTGCAGGATGGATATGTAGGCCTAATTCCGCTTCATCTGCATGTACATGCTTTAGGTGTGTAAAACAAATTGGCTTGCAGCCATGCTTTTGTAATGCGTCACAAATGCTTCAAAAGGTTAAGGACTAATTAATCTCACACCTTGTCTACATTTGGCTTGTTGTATGCTTCCTGTAGGATCCAGACCATCCAGAAGGTGGAGCAAGGCTTCACAGATAAGGCTTATCAAGACCAGTTGCCTATGGTGGCTCGAGCCACAGCCTCAGTGGCCATAAAGAGCAACTTGAGTCTCAGTGAGGTTATAGCTGAACCAAACATCATCTCCAACCAGCGCAAGGTCCTTGCGATCATACACAGACACATAGAACAGAGAAAAGAGGAGAGAACACAAGACCCAAGTGAGTAACACACCACGAATCTTTCTATTTGCCCTGAGATTTGTATGTCTTGGGGAAGGATGCTTTACTGTAGAGTATATTTCTTTGACAGAACGATTCAATGTTAAGCCCACTCTTGGAGAACAGGCTGTCAGATTGCCTCCGCTGTTAGCCTACCAGAGCGAGCCAAACCTGCAGATGAACACCAGTCAAGCAGCTTGTTAAGTTCTTGGCTCTACCTTGCCAACAAGAAGATGAGACATATGTAAGCCAACAGTCTAAATATTATCAAAATTTTAACAAACCATGTTGTTGTTGTTTTTTTGTTTTTTTTTCCCTCCTCACAGAGCAGTATCACAAAAGCTCCTCAAAAAATGCACCTGGCAAGGCTATAAACTACTAAAAATTTGCTAAGATAAACCCTTAGTGCTACTTACACTGCAATACATGCCAAAACATTTCAAACTGTTTTGCTTACCCGTTTAATTAAAAGGAACCTACTCAAAAGAATAATTCATTCATAAATTACGTGTTCTGATTCAAAACAGCTGAGAGAACAAGACACAACATTTAAAACATTTCTAATGTTGTTGAGAGTATTAATGTTACCACTCTACTTGAATAAAATACTATTATGATTAAAATAGCTTTTCTGTTGAAAAAAATTAAGATATAAAACCTTGCTATCAAGAAATGTCATTAATCTACAAATAATTGATTATCGGCACAATAGCAACACTATTGCCCAACATGGTTGTTATTGTTAACTAAAACTAATAAAAATTGATTTTGTTAATTGAAATTAACTGAAAATAAAGCTGAAAGTGAAATGAAATATACATATTAGATTTAAAAAATTGAAATGTTTTTTTAAAATTAGAAATGTTGCCTTAATAACTAATTGAAATAACTTAAGTTGAAATACTAAAATTACTAAAACTTAGACTAAAAAAAAGCTAAATCTAGATAGAAACATTAAAAAAATGACAAGCACATAATAATAAATTACTTCTAAAATTAATCTAAAATTAACATAAATATAAAAAACTCATAAAAATGTTAATAAATACTATAATAGTATATAAATAATACTAAAATATACTGCTGCCCAACATGAGTCACGAGTGTATTATCATTGTTTAACTATATTGTATTTAGGGAATGTTTGTCTTCTTTATGTGCAGGTTCTATGGCATCTGGCATCAGAAGCAAATTGGAGGCAAATTATGAGAATCTATGTTTAAGGTAGATGTCTAACAAAGGTCTTCAAAGCACATTTCAAAATGTGGCCCTAGAAATTTAAGCAGAAGATTCATTCGCACAATAAATAAAAACCAGTCTAACAAGCATACACATCAGTGTGCAGGCTGCTTTTGTTGTCCATGTTTAAATAGAACACAGACTAAAAAATATATAAAAATCCACGTTTATTAGCTTCTAAAGGCTTGTTGTTCTGATTGGCATTGGATTTGAATTCTCTACACCATACAGGTCAACAAATCTATTATAATGAAATGCATATTTCCATCTCTTGTGATATTCAAGTCACAGATTTAAAGTGTGAACAATTAATATTTTTCAGAAGAACTGCTTCTTATAGTTTAACCAAAAATTGGTATCAGTTTGATAGATTAATATATGTGTATAATCATTTTAATTCTGCTTTCATCCATAGCTCTTACTAAATGTGTGATGATATTTGAATCAATTAAGTTACTAAAAATACTTTTTCTGCTCCTTATGATTTGATGTTTCTATGGCTTTTATGGGACGGCTTGGGCTTTTTCTTGTTGTATAAAAAGAGCAGTCTGGACATTTTCCTAAAAATCTCCTTTTGAGTTCCATGGACAAAAAATAAATCATGTAGGTTTAGAACATCATCTGAGCTTAAATTGAACATTTATCAATTAACCCCAGTAGCTCTTAGGCCTTCTTCAGCCTGTTGTTGCTTCTCTGTTATCTCTGTATTGAGATAGCTCGGTTTTAAATGAAAGGCACAGCATGTTCTCTTCTCCGCTCCACCTAAGACCCACTGCAAATTAGATATTCATTTAGCAAACTCACTGTGAGACAGGCAGGATTTAGGCAAGTTGCCCGGGTCCTTGTTTACCCCCTCTGCCTCTTTTACTCTGTTTCTCTCCCCGTTGTACACACACAAACACACAGTGTCACACAGTCCCTTTCAGTCTCACACACAGACAAACACTCTCACACGCTCAGCGCCTCTGTCAAACATAAAGAGTGTATCTGCTGTGTTACCATGCATCTTTCAGACTCAATTCATAGCATAAGGTTGCCATGGATATCTAAAGCAAGCATACTGCTTTTCATCAATGTGCCTAGAAAATAACTTTTTAGACCACCTCGTCTCTCTCACGCTCCCTCTGTTTTTCTCACCCTCCTCTCTATTACATGCTTATGCTGTTTTCCGTCTGAAATGGACATTTAAAAAACCAAATAATAGGCTTTGTGCGGAATAAAATGCCATGAGGTGCGAATGACGCTGAATGCAGTCATTTAATCATTAGCATAGCTGAGATGTTACTGAAATCAGTGTCTACTCTCAATGATTTGACAAACAAATGATTTTTTTTAGGGACAGTTCACCCCAAAATTAAAATATTTTTTCATTAAAAGAATCATCATTTACTCACCCTCATGACTTCTGTGGAACACAAAATATATTTGAAAAATGTATATTGTATGAACTATTAGTATACAGAAATAACCCCAAAAAGTGTTTTTTTGACCACTAGGCAACCAACATTTGTATATGCATTACATCCATCTACTGTATATACAAAGTATATTGGTTTAGATTGGTTCATTAAAGCAGTCAGTGGTCAAATATATTGTTTTAATAAACCAAATGTTTTCCATGGCAGCATACCAGTGCTACTTTCATATCTCATATCACTCTGCGCTCTCTCTTGTCATTGGTGCCTTCATGTGACTCAATGTGGCGACATATTGTTGTAAAAAATGGCCTTGGTGGACTTCTGTATTAGTGAGCCTTTAAAGAATGGCTAGAAGCTCAGGAGTCTTCAGTTAAAGTGAGAAAATGAAAACAGCACTCTGAACAGCAAGGAACTGGAGAAAAAAGTTTTTTTGAAAGAAGTCTCTTATGTTCACCAAGGCTAAATTTATTTAAAATACAGTAAAATGCAGTCAAATTATCAGATTATCAAATTACATTCAATTGAAACTGTTTCAATGTTTTCTAAATTGCAAGTGTTTTCTTTTTGAATGTATTTTAAAATATATTGATGATGCAAAGCTGAATTTTCAGAACCATTACTCCAGTCTTCAGTGTCACATGATCCTTCAGAAATCATTTGAATATGCTGATTTGCTGATCAAGAAACATTTTGCATTATTATTACAGTTGTGCTGCTTAATAGTTTTGTGAAAACAATATTTTTTTAGAATTCTCAAAATACAGCATTTATTTGAAATATATATTTTTTGTAACAATGTAAACTGTCACGTTTGATCAACAGTGTTGGGAAGGTTACTTTGGAAATGTAATAGGTTACAGATTACAAGTTACCCTATTTAAAATGTAAAAAGTAGTGTAACTTTTTCAAATACTTCAATAAAGTAATGTAACTGATTACATTTGATTACTTTTGGTTGCTTTTCTACATTTCTAACAAATGTTTTCAACTAATCATTTTAAAACATTTAAAGCAGGCAGGGTTAACCTTACAGTAGGACTCAACACTGATGTCAGACTTTCGAAATCCTTCATCACTTGAATTAAGATTATAATAATAACAGCCACCACAAAATCAGACTTTAGAAGTTATTTTTACTTTGAGATCGTTCTGAGGTTAAATACTGATTTAAAATCATAGCAAGAAATACTTTAATCGCTATACTGTTTTTTAAATCAAATCTTTGCATAGCTATGACAGGAAACACCGGCATCTAGCAATGCCTTGGAAAAACTGTTGGAAAAGCTTGAAAAATCTTTAAAAAATAAACCATATACATGAGCCCAAATAGGGAAAAAAACTGTTATTGAATAAGCATGTGTCTTAAACTCCGGAAACACTGGTGTCAATGCCTTTCGTCATTGCTTTCGTGGTGTAGACGCTGATGTGGTCAAATGCGTTCGATCAGCCAGGTGTAAACGGGTATGTCTCCATTGTCCACTTGTGATCCGATTTACCAAAACGCATCTTAATACCAGGTGTAAACAGGGAAGTAGTCTATGATAATCAGCCCTGTTTACACTTGGTATTAAGATGCGTTTTTGATCGAATCACAAGTTTACATTTGGCATTTTAATCCGTCTCTTCTGTCAACTTTCGACCACTTCTGACCAGATTACCCCCCAAGTCAAGAGAAGGATAAATGGGCGGATCCCTCTGTCGGCATCAAAACACGAGCGGGAGGGCTAAAGTTATCGCGCACTAATATTACGTCTACTTGTACTTACTGCTGTTGTTTCTTTTCATGTTATCAGAAATATATAGAGATATCGGGTCATATGATGTTGCTAAAAAGAACATTATTTTGTGTATTTGGTGTAATGAAATG